ATTAATAGCCATCCCAAATTTTGAGGTATTTAAGTAATCTTAAAATATAAAATAAGTGTGTTCAAAATTATAAAAGAGATAAAAATAATAGAAGTCATAATGAAAGAATAGAGTAATGTAAGAAAAACAGGATAGGCAGAACCAAAAATGAACCAAACAGAATTTCTAGAGATGACATATAATTATTGAAATAAAAACCACAAGTAGCTGATTAGAAATAGCTATAAAAAAATCATAAGTGAAAGAGAGCTGAGAAAATTAACTGTAATGGATTAGAGATGCAAAGATATAGGAAAATAAAGAGTGATTAAATAACATGGAGGATAAAATGAGGAAGTCCAATGAATGCCAAATAGGAATTCCAGAAAAAAAGAACAGAGATAATAGGGAAGAGGAAATCATTTAAGTAATACTATCTGAGAATTTTCTAGAATAGACTTAAATCTTTAAAGAAACAGTCAGGGCCTTCAATTTCTTCTAAGCAGAAGAAATAAAAACAAATGCAAACTCTGACTCACTATGGTAAAACATCATCAAAACCATAACATCAAACACTAAAGGAAAATTTAAAAGCCACTATGGGTTGAATGACTGTTCCCTCTAAAACACATGTTAGAACTTAATTTCCAATATGGTATCTGAAAGGTAGGGCCTTTGAGAAGTGATTGGATCATGAGGACTATGATCTCATGAATGGATTAATCCATTCATAGTGTTATGGGTTAGTGGTTTAAGGAGTTATCACGGAGTAGACTGGGGGCTTTATAAGGTGTGGAGCATACTAACATTAATAAAGCACATGTATTTCACAGGGCCTTAACCTTTAGCATAGTAGGGCCACAGTCCTGCAGTTTTAGCAAGGCCAAAGCCTTGCAGCTTGGGAACAGCCTAACCTTTTAGTATTGCACATAGAAATGCTAAGCTTGGGAAAAAACAGAAAACTTTCACAGGCATAGTAGGGCCACAGTCCTGCAGTTTTAGCAAGGCCAAAGCCTTGCAGCTTGGGAACAGCCTAACCTTTTAGTATTGCACATAGAAATGATAAGCTTGGGAAAAAACAAAACTTTCACAGGACTAAAAAGTCTCTGGTGTGGATATGAAATTGTAACACAGTAAAAGAGCTTGCTCTAAGGGCAGATGCTATTGGTGCAGCTAAACCTAATTATGAAAAAATATGTGAGCTAAAATCTTCAAGGCTATTCTGCCAATTAGTGGTTAGTTCCACATTTCACCTTCAACTGCTTCTCTAAGTTTCCTAGGGAACTAAGTGTTGCCACACTGTTGGTTCTTTTGTATGTCACATAGCTTAGTTTTATGACTCCTTTGATGGTAAATTGCTTAAACTATTTTTAATTTGCACCTGCTTTAATGAAAATTGTTACGTAGCCAGTTCGTTTACGTTTTCACTATGACTAATTAACCACCTGTGTTCTTTTCTGTAGCTTTTTGCCTGGATAATAAAAACTGAGAGAAAACCTACTTCGGGGTTATTTTCCAAGGAATGCTTCTCCCTTGAAGAAGTTGTCTCCTGGAATTAACCCCTTCTGGGCCTCTCATTGCTCTGAAAAAATGGGCTTTGAGTAATCTTTTGTGTCTCCGTCTGTCACCCTGGGGGAGAGGTGACAATAAGGAGAGCAAATGAGCACGTTAAAACGCTCTTGCCATTCTTGCCGTGTGATACCCTGGTCACCACAGGACTCTGTAGAGTTCTCACCAAGAAGAAGGCCCTTGCCAGATGTACCCCTTGGACCTTGGACTTCCTAGCTTCCCAAACTGTTAATAATTAGACCTCTTTTCTTTATAAATTGCCCATTTCAGCTATTCTATTATAAGCAACAGAAATGGACTAATACAAAGCAAACAGAAAAGGGATTACTAAGGAAAACAAAAAAAGACAACTAGACTGATGGCAAACGTCTCTCATTAGCAACAATAGATGCCACAATACAATAATATTTTTTAAATGCTAAGAAAAAGCAACTAAGAATTCTATTATTTAAGAAGTGATGGAAAATTAGGCATTTTCAAACAAAGATTGAGAGAGTTTACCACTCTTAAACCCTGGCTGAATAAATTACTAAAGAATGTCCTTCAGTTTGGATTCCTCCTTGAAATATTTAAAAATCCATAACATAAAATGTATAGAATCACAAAGGAAATAAGTCCTGTTAAAATACAGTTACTCTGGACATCCATGTACAAAAGATAAATATTTAGACACAGATTTCCCACCTTTCACAAAAATTAACTCAAAATAATAATAGGATAATAAACCTAAATATAAAATGCAAAACTATAAAACTCCTAGAAGATAACACAGGAGAAAATCTATATGAACTTGGGTTTGGCCATGACTTTTTGGATACTATACCAGAAGAACAATCTGTGAAAAAAGAATTGATCAGTTGGACTTCACTAAAATTGAAAACCTCTGCTCTGTGAAAGACACTGTGAAAAAAATGAACAGAGAAGCCACAGAGTGGGAGAAAATCTTTGAAAAACACATGTCTGACAAAGGACTGGTGTCCAAAAGATACAAAGAATCCCAAAACTCAACAATACGAAAACAAAAACCCAACTGAAAAATGGGCAAAAGATCTAAGCAAATACCTTCTCTCAAACAGGTGGCAAATAAGCATATGAAAAGATGCTGCACATCGTATGTCACAAGGGAATCATAAATTAAAACAACAAGATACCACTACACACATATTAGAATGGCTAAAATATAAAACTGACAAATGCTGGCAATGATATGGAACATTGGGAATGCAAAATGGTATAGCCACTTTGAAAGACAGTTTGGCAGTTTCTTATAAACAAAACATACACATACCAATACAATCCAGCAATCATGCCCTTTGGTATTTACCCAAATAAATTAAAAACTTATGTCCAAACAAAAACCTGCAGACAAATGTTTATAGTAGCTTTATTCATAACTGCCAAAGCTAGGAAGCAACCAAGATGTTCTCCAATAACTCAGTGGATAAACAAACCGTGGTATATCTGTATGATATTATTCAGCAATAAATAGAAATGAGCTATTAAGCCACCAAAAAACATGGAGGAACCTTAAACGCATACTGTTAAGTAAAAGGGGACAGTCTGAAAAGCCTACATACTGTATAATTCCAACTATATGACATTCTGGAAAAGGCAAAACTGTCGAGGCAGTGAAAAGATCACGTGGTTGCCAGTGGTTGAGGGCAAAGAGGGATGACCAGGTGTAGCCTAAAGGATTTTTAGGCAGTGAAACTAGTCTGGTATGATAATGTAATTGT